TCTTAAACTTTATTTATTTATTTTGTTACATATATTCTGTCACCGAAACGTACAAATACAAAGTAATTATTGTTACGTTATTTCTTTCTATTAAACGATTCAGTGGATTATTGACCGAAAATTTGGCACTCTATGACAATTTCCTGAAGGATTCACGCCAATTCCTACAATAACTACATTATTCTAAAAGGAAACAATTGAATCGAATGGCTTGTCGTTTGTTTTTATAAATTATGAATTTATTTTGGCCTTTGTTATCGCTCTTTTGAAAATAATTCTTAGGATAATATTGATGAAAAACTGCTGTTGAGATTGCCTTTATATTTGGGTTTTATTCAACTTTTTGAATAAAGCTTTTGAATAAAGAATTTACTGAACAACTTGCTTATCAAATTTAACGTAGCATGATTATCCTTTTATATAAAGAACAATACCAACGATTTCATCGAAAATCTAATTGATGTACTTATCCTGCTTATTATATGGAATATTATTATACAACCAAATCAGAGAACAAGGGGATCCGAAATTAGTTAAAGGAATTGTTGTATTATTATTCGATACTGGAATTTTCAAGAAATTTTTTATTTTTGACGTCTTGTTACTATGGGTACGTTTTGTGAGTGTCCAAATTTAATTTGAATTTGAATAGTTGCTCCTTTCAAAGATGCACTATTACAAGTGTAACTTCATTTGAAAGATGAAAGATACCTGTACTGTGAATGTGGTTTAAGACCACGAGAACGCGAGCATGAATGAATGGGGAACTTTGGTACTGACTGTACCTAATTTTTTAATGGTTTCTTCGTAGCTTTACCGATGCCTTTGAATTTATTCTACAGATGTTTTAATGGAATACTTCCATTACTGATCTGCCTCGGATCATGTTCTCTTTTAACCATTTTTTTTTTGCTTTCCTTTTCCAATTTAAATTAAATAGATTTGAACTTTTCCAGAGAAATTCTCATTTCTGATTCTCTTTATAAATCCTTCCTTTTTACATATACCTACCTACCTACCTACCTACAACCCTTAAGGCTCGGATGTATTATACTTTACCCTATTAATTATAAAAAGGGTTGTTAAATTTCCAATTTTAGGGGCTTTTTCTAACAACAGCGGCGGTTTTAAAATTTTAAATTGATTCAATGCATTTATTTTGTTTATTAAATTATTTTTGAAAACTTCACCTTTATTTAATAAGTTTTCTTCTCCCTTTCCGCTAAAGTGTAATATAATACATGCAAGGGCATGATTGACAAGAAAATGCCTCGGAGTATAATTTGATACTATTTTCCCCAAAAAATATTTTGAAAGCAACGTTTTCGATATTTTTTACAAAAAAACGGAATCTATAAAATACTTAAGCGCCTGGTATTTTGTAATAAGGTCGTTAAAATTAAATTATTTCTGTGGCTATTATAAATAGAGTGGTTTTTGTAGACAAACGATGTTTTCAGAACGGGCAGTAGGAGGACTGCCGGCGAGTACCTATTAGAAACATTTGAGGTTTCTTAACCTAACAAATTTGACACACTATATTCTAAAAACATCGACTTTGAAAGCTGACGTTGGTAAATTATCATACAAAATCCTCAATAATGGTTAACATTTTCGTTTAGTATAAATCTCAATAGTATCGAAAGAGACAATGTCATAATGAAAATATTGATCTAAACAACAGCCATTAATTTGATAAAAATCTCTGCTCTGTGGTTGTTCGCTTTTCCTTGTAATAAAAACTCAATGACATTTAGTTGAATTTATCGTTTTAAATGTTTAACATGTACGTAAAATTATAAAGAAGCGGGCGTTTTAAAAATTGCGAAATTGTGTCATATTAAGGGTGCATAGTTAACCGCTGGAAAATATTCTCAAAGGATGTACAACTTTAACTATAATTTATACAAAGCGAGTATGAGTTTAAGCTAGATAAACATGCACTTGCTTTAGACATTATCGGCAAAATGCCAGCAGCAATTTCAGTATCTGTTGATATGACGGCGATGGGTAGACAAACTAAAAACGCTGACGTGGTGAAAAATAAAAGCTTAAAAGACCCTAACAGAAAAAAGATGAATGAGCAGCTGGATTTTACATTTTTTCTTTTTCTTTTTTAATTGAAATGTATACATGTACATAGGTGTATTTTTTAAAGGTAGATCAAATTGTTTGGCTAGATCTTATAATTTTAATATAAAACCATTTCTTTGAAAATAAAAGCTTTATTATTATTATACACATTCCGAAATCATAATCTATAGATCTAGGAATTATATAATTAAATATATTAATTCTTTTTTATCCAATATAGCAATTTTGTTTTACCAGCTTACGTATAGCAGGAGTCAGAAGAGATCTTTAAAATTGATATAACGCTCAATGTTTAGTTTACTTTATTTGGTCATAAAAGCTTTGATCCAGTAAGCCAGAGTACATCTTTTGTTCTTTTTTGTTTGTTTCCAACTCATCATAATAACTAGGTACATTTTTATTGCTGGAGAAAGAAAGGATCACAGAAGTTAACAATGAGCGTCTTCAAATGTTTGATTTGAGCTTTTACCGATTGCGATTGAACATGATCATTCTGAAATAAATCGATCTCTAAAGCTGTTTCAGTTCTGTTTTTTAGGAGGACCATTACCTCTGATAGTGTGTAATAATTACTAACACTCAATTTTTTAAGCAATAATTGTATATCACATGAAACGTAAGCTACAAATGTTATTATTTAACGATTAAATATCTTAGTTTAAAATCATTTTTTCGGTTTTTTTTTTTAATTTACCCACTACAAACTACCTCAAATTAATGAGGGAAAAATGGTCGGTGTCGTCACCCCCCGCCGGGAATCGAACCCGGGACCTTTGGCTT